TGTTTAGATGCATCATCTGTAGCTGTGGATTTGCTGTACTCTGACATGCCTGGGAGCGTTTACTACTTCAGAGCTAGAAGAATAATAAAAGTTGAACAAACATTTCATGGTATTAACATAAGATGTTTAAATAGAGAGCCACAGAATATTTTATCCCACCCAGAGCAATGTGAAGAGCAGAGGATTTATGCCTATTGCTGTGCAAATACCTCCTGAGAAGTTGCATCCGTCTGGGAAACAGTTTTTGTTCTAAGGACCCGAGAGCAGAGCACGCCTGAGCCAAGCGAGCGGCAGGCAGCGGCGCTGGGACCAATCCTGCTCTCCCCCCCCGCGGACCTCGCTGGGGGGCAGGGGTGCAGAGCTCACTGTGCCCACGCCACCGGCACGCAGAGGGGAGACGGCACAGCTACACCTCCGGAGCCCCAGCCCCCAGAAGAGCTGGTTGGGGATGCCCCTCGCTCTGCCGGAGGAGGGAGATGCCTTTGCTCTTTGCCTGTGCCCGGCGTGTGGGCACGGGGGGGCGGCGGGGCTGCGGCTCAGCGCGCGGGCTGGGAGCGAGCCGGCTCAGCGAGGCTGGCTCTGCAGCGAGGCGCTGAGGCAGCGCAGCATCATGGCTCGTAGCTGTTAGTGACCCATAGGCCCGTCCCCAGCATGAATGGAGACAGGTAGCAAAAACCAGCGGTGTCAAACTCTCCCCGAGCAGAGGGACACGCAGCCCCACGCTGTCTGCTGCCGGCTCTGCTGTTGTGTTTCCAGCCCTGAGAGCAGGAACGTCGCGGAGTCACGGGGACGTGCTCTCACCTGGCAGCTCTGGGTGCCCGCAGCAGTGGGGAGCAGTGGGGGGGGCAGCCGGCCATCCCAGCCCCCACGGCCCTCAGCTCCCCCCGCCAAGGGCACTGGTACCAGCACCCGCTCTCCCCCAGGCCAGTCCCCAGCCACAGCACACGCTGGTAGTGCCACCGTGCAACAGGAGCGTTACAGGGAAGAAGGCTGTCCGTCCCGGAGTAACTTCCCGATGTGCGCAGGCTGGAGTGCCTGCTCTGGGCACCCACAGGTCGGGGAAGAACATCTCCTTACGAGCCCCGCTGAAGAGTACAAACCCAAGGGGGGGTAACTCCTCGACAGCAGCTTTGGGACCTCTCGTGCTAGGCGGGCTCATCGGGAACCCCCCGGGACACAGGCTGGGTCTCCCCAGTGCTGCTGTTAAAGCTGCGTGGAACGGGAGGTCCTGGCCGCAGCAGGCACCGAGCTGAGCGCTCGCCGCTGGTCAGGAAACTCATTTCCTCCTTCTCCCAGCCAGGACGGTGGGGTCAGCGCGGACCCCAGACACGGGGGCTGTGCCGCTGCCCGCCTGCCTGCGCAATGTGGGACAGCGCTGGCTGCCCCCAAGCCCTCCCACGAGACGGATGTGTGTCACCGGGGCAGAAAGACAAACAGACTGCACGGCTCTCGCCCCGCGGCTCCCATGATGTCAGTGGCAGCGGGAGCCGCTCCAGTTGCGAGCTGGTGTGACTCAGCCTGTGTCAGCGGGGCCGGCAGGCAGGGTCCGAGGTGGTTCCCTACCTGCGCCGGCTGAGCGCGGGGAAGGTGTTAACTGGCCCACGGATCAGTGGCAAAGCTGGCTTCCAGCGTTTGGCGGGCGGCCACCAGCACGGACGAGGACTGAGCTGTCTGGTATCAGAGGAAAGCTCCGCGTTTCGCACACCTCGCAGCCGTTGTGCAATGCACACAACGCAGAAGTACAAACAGGGCTGGCCTCTCCCTCCGCTTACAGTGCTGTTAGAGCAGCCTGTCTCCGTCGGGCAAGACCGTGCTTTCGCTACCTGTGGCTGGGGATTTCCCCGGCACGAGGCGTGCCGCGCTGGTGTGGAGCTGGAGCAGCCGCCGGCTGCGCCGGGCCCTGGCTGCTCCTGGGGAGCTGCGGATTCCCGAGGTGTGGGGAGCCCGGGGAGCTCCCCCTGGCCCAGCACCGCGCTCAGGACGCTGCGGCCGGCGCCTTGGACCCCTGCCACCTCCCGCGCTGCCCAGCCCCGATCCCCGGCTGCTCAGTCCTGCTGATGTTCCGCAGCGGGAGGGCACAGCCGGGCCCCAGCCTGTCTTTCCACTTTTACACAACAGTGTACAAAAGGAGTGATGCATTTGTTGCAAAACAGCATCTGGAGCAGAAGACTCAAGAGACACAATATTCAGGAACACGTGGGATCTGGGGTCTGTTTGTCAGATTATTCCAGTTAAGAGCTCACAAGCCTTTGACAATATCCTTCAACCCACACGCCTGATTCACATCTGACATCAAGTACAGAGGGCAAAGAAGTAATCGCACTTTTAGTTTTGCTTTTTGGGACAAACCACCCCTTTTCTAATAATTAGATGTTTTCTCAGCCTTCTACCTAGAGGACTGAATTTTACAATTCAGTCCAAACTTTCTAATGGATTGTCCCCAGCTTTGTGGTGTGAGCATTTGGGATGAAAAGGACGATACAATACAGAGAGTGGGTTACTGAGGGGCTAAGGGCCAATCCATCTTCCAGTCATGCTGATAAACGCATGTTGCATTTCTGGACTTGTCTGTCCGATCTCACGTGCAGAAATGGAATGATTTCCTTTGGTTTATAATCTTGAACTCTCTCTACAGTAAATATCAAGCAATTCTGATTGCTTAGAGCAGAAGGTAATTCTGGAGTGCCTCTCCCAAGTCCCTCTTTGCTATCCTGCCTATTTGCAGACTTGAACAAGCAGCACATCCTTCTCTTCCTTCCTGATCTACGCACAGTGTTTCTGTGAAGGGCAGAACGCTGGCTGTTTACCAGCAATAATTGCATTTTTGTCAAAAATGTGTTTTCATGAAAACGGAAGGCTGGCTTTCGGTTTCTGTTGCATTAGCAGTGACTCTGCCCGTTAACGTGCTGTTGACATCAAGTGAAAAACCTGTGCATGCAACAGCTCCTTAAAAAATACTACCAGTATGAGCCCAGCGGTCTGTTCTAACTTCTTGCTTGGCTAAGACTCCAGCGTCCTCAGCCAAGTGCCTACGGAGGCATCGTGCCTCATCTCGATTTCTGGGTGTTGCTGCCGTGACACGCTCCGGGCCACCCCCACGCAGCACGATCCGGGTGGGTCCGGGGGGGCCGCGCTGCAGCGTGAGCAGAGCCGAGGCGGCGGGGGCAAGGATCGCAGGGAGAGAGCGGCCAACCTCGCCGGGGCGGCCGCGGTGCTGCGGGGGGGCCCGGCTCACCCCGCGGGACCCCGCACCCCCGGGGGCCGCGGCGGGGGGCATGGGGGGGGGGGGGCGTAGCCGCGGGGCTCCAGCGCCGGATTCGTGCGGCCACGCTCCCACCTAGAGGAGCCGCTCCGGAGCTGCAGGGCCGGGCAGCGCCCGCGGGGCTCTGCCCGCCGGGGGGATGCTGGATGCTCCCGGGGAGGGGGGGGATGCTCCCGGGGAGGGGGGGGGGATGCTGCCGGGGAGGGGGGGGGGATGCTGCCGGGGAGGCGGGGGGGGGGATGCTGCCGGGGAGGCGGGGGGGGGGATGCTGCCGGGGAGGCGGGGGGGGGGATGCTGCCGGGGAGGGGATGCCGCCGGGCCCCGAGGGTGAGCGGGGGATGCTGCCGGGGCAGAAGGAAGGGTGGAGGGGATGCTCCCGGGGAGGGGGGGGGGGGGGGCTTCCCCGCACAGCCGAGCTCCGGCGGGGGCACAGGGCCAATGCGAGAGGCTTCTCCGCGGTCCTGCTGCTGCCGGAGCCCAGGGCTGTGAAACCCGGACCGAACCCCCCCACCACCACCCTGAGAGGTTTTGGGGGGTGTTTGTGGGGAGCAGTGCGGGGCAGGAGTTATCCCCCCCACCATTCCCTGCAGACTGGCCCATTGGTGGAGTGACACTCCACGGTGAAGGCTTCAGAGCTATGCTTACTGCAAAGCTGCAAGTACTAATCCATTTAACATGACTAGTAAGAAAAAAAATAAAAATCCATGCTAATAACCTGTTGCAGAGTAAGGCATTTAGACAATTCTCTATCTTTTTGTAATTCTTTGTAATAATAATTAAATGACCTTTAAAATGGCAGTGGGTGGAAAAATTCAGTAAAGCTGAATAGCTATTCAGCAACTGCTAAAGAATATTGAAAATCAAGAAGAAAAAACCTCACTTTGATGTTAAGGGATGAGGAAAAATAAAAAGAAGTGAAGCAACCAAGTGTGAAGCTGGAAGTTTTGTCTTTGTTTGCACTGATTTACATATCCTGTTGGGCACAGTAACTATGGGAGCACTAAAAACCCAACAGATCCATAAACAAAGCCCAGTGCACTGGAACCTCAACTGGTCTCAGAACAGCGTTAAACTGCCAGAGGGGAGATTTAGGTGAGATCTAAAGTGGAAATTGTTCCCTGCGCGGGGCGGGGGGGGGTGAGGCGCTGGCCCCGGGTGCCCAGAGCAGCTGTGGGTGCCCCCTCCCTGGAAGGGTTCAAGGCCAGGTTGGACGGGGCTGGGAGCACCCTGGGCTGGGGGAAGGGGGCCCTGCCCGGGGCAGGGGGGGCCTTTGAGGTCCCTTCCAACCCAAACCATTCTAGGATTGACACAAAGTTTGCTTACCAGGGAGCTCTGCTGCGACCAGTTGGAGTGTGGCTGGGCCGGGGCTGCTGAGGGCTCAGGTCCTTCCCGAGGAGATGCTTAAATCGCCCGTGCGCTCACAGGCCGGGTCTGAAAAGCCGGGGCTGCAGAGGGAGGTGCTGGTCCCTCCGCCTCGTATCCACTTGCCAAGCAGCGAATGTCCCCTCCGCCCTTCTCGCCTTGGGCACCAGTTTCCTCCTTGCCCCTGCAGTGCCAGGGCAGCTTTGGGACCGACCCGAGGCCATGGTGATGGTTTCATGGTGCTGGCCATCGGCAGGGCTCAACGAGTGCCCTCGCGCCGGGGCAGAGGGACCCGGCTGCCTGTGCCAGCACTCCCGCTTGCCGGGGGGCCACAGCTCGGCCAGGGGCACGGCGGGGGGACACGGGGCCGGCGGGTCCCCAGATGGAAGCAGCGGGTGGGTGGTGGAGGCCAAACCATCCTGGGAGAGGAGGCAGAGCCGCGCCGCCGGCCCCACCGCCTGCCCGTATCGCCGCTCCACAGCTGCACGCTGGATTTGATCCCCTACAATACACAGGATTTATCTCTCTCACTTTCATGTGCCTTTAAGGAAACACCACTTTTTATCTCATTTCTGACGCTTTTTATCATCACAAAGAGTTTTTAATGAAATGAGAAAGCGTCTCTTTCTGCAGGCCGGAGCGGCGTGGGTAATTTCAATATAAAACAAACAAGGCAGCTTTCAAAATTAAAATTTTATGTGTGGCATTTTCTCATTTAACGGAATGCACAAAGATGGGCAAAACCAATTAACAGGAGGTTGAGACTCAGGACTTGGCAAAATTAAACAACAGGACTCTGCAAAAGAAATGATTTGTTCAAAGGGAGCTAGAGAAAGTCACAGAGAGGAGGAGAGGAAGCAAGGCTGCTCTTGAAAATTCACCACCTCTTAAAAAAAGAGATGCAAACAAATCTGCATCTTACCTCATGCTCCTCAGACAGGCTTCAGAGCCCCCATAGACCAAGTGGAAACACTGGGAATGGCAAAGACAACACCTAGGCACACCAGTTTCAGGGGAGAGCGGAGGACGTCCTAAGTCAGGGCTCGGCTGCTGCGAGCAGCGGGAGAGGCTGGTTCCCCAAACGTACCTGCCCCAGGCTGGCAGTGTGCAGGGCTCCCCTGGACACCCGCCAGGAAGGTGCTGCTTCCTTCCCCAGGTATCCCTCTGCTCCCAAACCCCCTCCCACCAAGAAAAAAGAATCAGTTCCAACAGAAGTTAAGCTGGAGACAAAAAGGAACCAAGGGTGGAGAGGAAGAAGGTGGCTGAGCAGGAGGGCAGCAATGCTGCCACCCACCCCAGGCACTGCCCCAGCAGCTGCACAGCTCCCGCTTGGCTGTGATCAGCGGTGCGGTTAGTAATGCCCCGGGGGGGGCTCCAGATGAACCCTCTTAAAAGAGAGGAAGAGGGGAGAATTAAGGCTAATCACTCGTTATCAGCCTGTGGGCTGTGCCTGCAGAGTTCAAGATTTACAGCCCCTGGGAGCAAGTCTGAGTTGGCCTCTGATTGCTGCAATCACTGCAAAATGGGGATGGGGCTTATTTGCCTGTTTTGCACATTATTTGTGGGGTGAAGTGCTGAATTCTTTAAGGTGGCAAGGTGTCTGGATGTATTTAGCCACTGATTCAGCCGTGCTGGGCCAGAGCAGGGGCTGTCAGTCCTGCCTTACAGCATCACTCAAGTGAGTGAGTCAAGCATTTATCTCAGGTGTGCTGCCCTTTGCCAGAGCAGCAGAGATCACAGTGGGAGAGAGTCCCTCTGCCTGGTGAATAAAATATGGAGCAGCATTATTTACTGTGCTTCCAGCTCTGGTTTCCACAGAGCAACCGATGGAGAAGGCAAAAGTCACATGTTAATGAGGGGCAGCAGCCTGCTCCTTGCCTGTAGTGGCTCTCAGCTCTGTGTCTTGAAAGGAGATGCGATTCCTAGGAGGAAGAACTCGGGAAGGGATGGGCTGAGCAGCGGTTGGCTGATCCCACAGATCTGCCTGGGCAGAAAGACGTCATGAGCGCTTTACACCCTCTTATGTGAGAGCCGCAGCACTATTTCAGCCCAAAGCTATTTATGACTGACAGTGTGGCAGAGCCAGATGAGAGGGGGGAGCCCCCGGCCGGGGTTTGGAGGGGACACCAGCTCCCAGCCAGCCTGCTCGCTGGCCCGGGGGCACAGGTACCTGCTGGCTCTGGGGCTCCCAGGCCTGCCGGAGCACAGGCACGGAGCAGAAACCCTCCTGTGTCTGGGAAACAAAACTTTTCACTGAAAGGAGAGAAGGAAGCAAGCCCGTGGAAAGAGAAGAACAGGCTACCAAGCCAGGTAATCCATCTCTGGAGCATCTGCGTCAAGATGATTCATGTCTTCCAATTTACTCCCAGCTCAAATCTAGAGTAAATCAGCCCAGACTGTGTCTGCCCCGTGCGGTGGGACACAACGCCGAGGTGCAGCCGAACATCCCGCCCATCCATCTCGCCGGTATCGCAGCTCCTGAATTTAATGTTTGTCCTACGTAATTAGTGCCAAGCTGTTTGTTTGTTGATAGGTGAAGGGAGGGGAGGGAGTGCCCTGAGAAGGGAGATGGGATGTGAAAGGGGATGATGAGAATGGATTTTGTTTTAATATGCTGTTCAGCTGCTTTTCTACAGCAATTCCTTTCACATGAGAACAGCCCAGGAAGAACGTTATCAATGTGAATTCCCACCTGTAATAAGAAAGTTGTCCAAAGTCTTAATTATGTTTTTAAACTACTTACAATTCTCCTGCCTCCTTACCGTGGCCTTTGTGCCGGCCCCGAGCTGTGCCCACGCCGGCTCCGCCTGCCTGCGGGACACGGAGGGCACGGGCGAAAAGGCGACACGGGGGAAGCTGGTGCCACTGTCCTGGTGTCCCATCCCTGCACAGCTCTGCGTGGAGACGCCCCGCTTTGGTGAGAAACCAGAAATCCATCCAGGGGCGTCTGGAAAGGAGAAGCTGCAAAACAAAACAAAGCCAGAAGGCTGCTCCCCGGCCGTTCCTTATGTTGGCATCTCACACTTCGTTACAGCCAATTACTGACGAAGGGCCCGGGCAATATTTCGAAGACAAGCTACGAGGTGCCCCAATCCCACCTTCAGTGGAAGCCGTTTGGTTGGGTTAATTTTTGTTTATAATCAGTTTGAGGGCAATTTCATTTTCAAGTTATTGATTTGAATTTCATGGCGTTTGAAAAACGCTGGAAAAAAGATTTTATCTCATTAAGGAAAAATGTTGAAAGAATGCGTGCCTTGGCCTCAGGGCTTTTGAAAATAAGTTTGTTTATACATAAACTGGCAATTTTGGGCTAACTATGAGCTGACTGTAACATCGGTAATTTTACAGTATGCCAAATATAAAATGGGGGGAGGGGACCCCCCTAAGGGTCACGTGCACTCAGAATTTCCCAGGTGTGCGGAGGGTGACAAGGAGCTTTTGCCGTTTTGCTGCAGAAAGCCGAGGGAAAGACAAGCAGCAGAAGAGGGTTTGGGGGCGCGAGGGAGTTTCATCTTCATCCCTCGACTGTTTGTCGCTGGCGTGAGGCGGCAGCTCTGCCGCGGCCGGGGGGCTGCTCCCCTTCTCATTTTCTGGCGATCGGGAGTAACCGCGGCCGCAGTCAGCCCCGATTGTCCGCACGGGGCGCGGGCTCCAAGGGTCGAGGCCCCAGCCCCAGGAGCACAACCACCCCGAATCACGGGCAGGACCCCGCCGCGCCGTGCTGCCCAGAGCCGGCGGGGGGGCAGAGGGGCCGCCGCCCCCCGGCCTTCTCTGCTCCCCCAAAATCCCTCCCCGGGGGTGCCCGGAGAAGCGGTTGCGGCTCCGCTGCCGCTCTGCCCAGCTCTGCAGGCTGGGGAGCCCAGCCGACTGGCTTTGCCAAGGATGAGTGTAATTAAAAGGTTTGGCTGGCAGTCCTGGAAACAGGGACAAAGTGCAATAAGTCTGTTAATGAGCCAGACTCGCTTTAAACACTAATTCAGCTTATGATGAGAGCACCGTTGCTGTTCAGATTAAGTATTTATCTACTTGTTTAATACGAATCAATAAATGAATAACAGCTCAATGGAAGTGACATTTGTGGAACTCCACAGTCATTTGTAACTCACTCATGTTTTAATGTCTCTTCTAATGAGCAATACCAGCTCTGCGCAGCTCCGGCTGTGCACTGAAAGAAATGAACCTGTGCAGACCGTCCTCAAAAGTTTCCCTCAGGGCAGTTCCTAAAAGGATCCACGAAGGAGAACTTTTAGCTGCTCTTGGGCAGGCCCTATCTCTTAGCATCCTGCAGACACGGTTTCTGGAGCTGTGCCTCCAAAGTGTCCTAGAAAAGGTCCCCAGAAGAAATCATTTCCAGAAGGGCTGGCCTTTATGCACTCCAGCCATGTTTAATTTGCTGAATATTTCATGTTGTTGGGTTTGGTAGCTCTTCTAACTCCTCAAAAGTGAGAAGGCAAACTTTAAAATCTATTATCTTGGGCCATTTTGCATCTGTTACCCCATGGCTGGAGTCCCAGTGCTGGAGGCACCATATGGTTCGCATTGTTATTAGAAAAGCAGCACACACGCAAAGAGCAGCAGGACTGAAAGAATGGTCTGGAATTAAAATTCACCTTCTTGCTAACTGCAGACTAAATGACTAAGCCAGAGGGAGTGGATATCTCATTGCAGTGGTTAGAGTGGTGTTTATTTCTCTTCTGAAGGAGCCCTGAAGTATTTCTATATTGTGTCTGATTTAAAAACACAGGAGTCCCTTCCACTCCAAGTGCAGCACAACGCTTCCTCCTACCGCTAATGAGAGCTGCACCAATATGAAAGTGGTAAAACAGGCCCTAAATAGTACTCACATTTTTCATGATATGAGAAAGAAGAATGTCCCCGAAGGGAGCTGCTTCCGTTAAGCACTGGCACGGTGGAAATAATCTGTTTATATAGCAGACCTGCAATTAGGTACCTGGGTGAGCTGCCTGTCACCCTCCCGCAGAACACGCCTCAGGCCGGTGCAAGGAGGCTGCAAAGGGGGGGCCTCCTGGCCCCCACCCCCCTGTTCCATCAGCGACAAATGTGGGTGGCAGAATAAACTCCACCCAGCCTCTGTCTGTGGGCGCAGTTCTTTCCGTGGGTGCCGGGGGTCCCGCTGGGCCGGGGGCCCTGTCCAGGAGCGGGCACCCCCCCACTGCTGGCGCTGCAGCGGGGCCAGGTCTGGCCCCAAACTCCCACCTGCCCCCCCGGCTCCATGCATGAGAGATGAATGAGGGGCTGGGAGAGCCGTTTTCTGACCCCGTGGACACGAATAACCTGGGTGCACGAGTGGCTGCGGACCACGAGCCTAAATTTTTGTCTCCCTGGGGTACTGCTTGGGGGGGGGGGGGGTCGCAGGGAGGAGGTAGGAATGCTTTTGTGGTGAAAGCAGAAAGATCCCCCGCCCCTGCTGCGCGGTGGGTATGGGCAGGCAGTTTTCCACCTCTGCCGTGAGGAGCCCGGCAGCAGGCTGCCGACAGAGCTCGGCGTGTGCTCGGATAAAAACCGCAGCCCGGCGCTCTCCGGTCGGAGGCGATGGCAGCTCCCCAGCCCAGCCCGCCGCGGTGCTCCCCGCCGTGGGCAGGGGACGCGCTTCCCCAGGCTGCGGGCTGAATGCTTGAGGGGACCTGGGCTCGGCAGCCGTAAGGCGCCGGTTGGAGGATGCTGCCCGTTAATGAGATCCCGGAGGGCTTTCTGCTTTCACCTTTCTCCGCTCTCCTCTGCAGTTACGACGGCAGCCGGGCTGGCACTGCCATCAGCATCTCCTGCTACCACGCAGCTTACGGGGAATTTGCCGCGGGACTTGCTCTGCAAGCTGAAATTTGGCATCAAAGGGTCTTCCCTCCTCTTGAAGTTGAAGCTAAGAGCCCGTTAGAAACATGGCGGTTTGGGGAGGGAGCGCAGGCTGAACAAGCTCCCGAGGCGGGCCACTGCTCTCCGTACTGGGCCGAGCGGCCCCCGGGATCAAGTGGATCCCTTCCCGCTCCCCAGCACGTCCAGGCTGAGACACCTTGAACTCGTGTAAAACACAGAGAACCGGCAGCTGAGCCCGAACCCCACCACCGCACCAGAACCTGCCCCAAAGGTTCCCTACCAACCAGCCCCCGGGCTGTTGGAGGCTGCCCGGCCCCGGCCCGGCCCCCCAGCCCCTGCCCCACGGCGGCAGCGCTGCCCAGCGCTCGGGCAGGGACACCTGCGGAAGGCGAGACGCCTTTGGCCGTACGGGTGCCAGCACCAGGCATACATAGAAATGGAAGCCGTTTTCTTGAGGAGCCGGCAGTGTTACCTGCTCTTTTTGAAGAAAGGAAATACCGCTGCCTCCCTCGTGCCCTTTTGATGATGCCAGTGGTCCCCCGCGGCACCCAGGGACCTTCGTGCCCTCCCCTCGCCAGGCTCTGTCTGGCCAAGCCAGGGCAGGACTCGGATTTCAGCTCTGATTTCCTCGGCTCCGTTTTATCCCTCTGCATGGAGGTTTTTTCCAGGACTCGTAGCCGTCTTTGATCTCAGAATATTGATGTAAATATTGTATGATCCTGCCTCAGCCTCCAGGAAACCCAGATGTTCAATTGATTAGATCTTAACATCGAGTTCAAGAACTCTGAAAAGCACATGAAATAATAAACTTGTTCCAGTGTGAAGTTTCTCTGTTCAGGATCAAATTCAGGGTCAATCCATTATTCTTGACAGCTATTGCAGGAGACAGAGTGGTTAAGTAAACTAATTGCAGGGTGGATTCTGCATGAGCTGAAGTCAACAGGTCACATACAATTAATATTTAAATCAATCTGACGCAGAAAGGCGTAATAGGCTTCTCAGAGCTGTGGACTGCATGCAGCCTGTGAGAAGGGTTGAAACGTCTCACAGGAGGGACCGGGCGGACTCGAGGGCTGACGCTGCGATGACATCTGAGCGCAGCCGCCGCTCCTGCGCGTCCCTCCGCACCATCGCTTCTGCCGGCCGAGACAGGCCGAGCTTGCTTGGGGTGTCCTTACGCATAAACTTGGCTTACATTTCAACAGCAGGGGATCCAGCTTCGTTTTTACCTCTAGAAGAGACACTCACTTTTGGTGTTAGGAGAATTATGTTCTTCCCCCCAACACCTGAAATGCTCGTTAGCAGAAATTAGCAAAACCTGTCTCTCACCTAGAAGGGGAGTGGTGGGGGTTTGCGTCCTGGTCGGTTAACCCTTCCCATGAGGGACGGCTCCTAAGACAAAGGAAAGTGGAAAAAATGAGGTGTTAAGAGTTACAGTCATTTTTAATAAAGCCCATCCAGGCGGTGAAAGTGCTGCTCTGCAGCGGCTGCAGGGGATGGGTCTGCAGCAGAGCACGAGTGCTACAGGGTTGGGAACCCAGAGACAGAGAAAACAACACATTAACGATAGTCAGCTCTGCTTTACCTCGGTGCAGGTGACCCAGTGCCCGGCCCCAGGGCTCTTTCCCTGGGGCTGGTCCCCACGCCCCGGGGGCTCCCTGCCCCTCCCCAGGCCACCCAGCTGCAGCCCCCACCTTCCCCCAAGGTCTGTGCGAGCGCCGGGGGAGCCTTCCCGCTGTTTGGGGAGGGTTCAGACACCCTGTGCAGCCCCGGGTCTGGGTGCCAGGGTCCCAGTGCCGCTGCGTGGGACGTGTTGCTGAGGACACGGAAGACGGAGGGACCCTCCCCCAGCTCACACGTGCTGTGGCCGCCTGGAGCACAGGGTGGGGGTGCAGGGGTGGGGGTGCAGGGTTGGGGGTGCACAGGAACGGGGGGTGCAGGGTTGGGGGTGCACGGGATGGGGGTGCACAGGAACAGGGTGCACAGGAACGGGGGGTGCAGGGTTGGGGGTGCACAGGAAGGGGGTGCACGGGAAGGGGGTGCAGGGTTGGGGGTGCACAGGAAGGGGGGTGCACAGGAGCGGGGTGCATGGGAAGGGGGTGCAGGGTTGGGGGTGCACAGGAACGGGGTGCATGGGAAGGGGGTGCAGGGTTGGGGGTGCTCAGGAAGGGGAGTGCACAGGAACGGGGTGCACGGGAAGGGGGTGCAGGGTTGGGGGTGCTCAGGAAGGGGGGTGCACAGGAACGAGGTGCATGTGAAGGGGGTGCAGGGTTGGGGGTGCTCAGGAAGGGGGGTGCACAGGAGCGGGGTGCATGGGAAGGGGGTGCAGGGTTGGGGGTGCACAGGAAGGGGGGTGCACAGGAACGGGGTGCACGGGAAGGCTGCTGCTCTGCCGCTTCTGAAGAACAAGGAGGTGTCTTCGCTCGACTTCAGCCGTGGGCTGCCGGGACCTCTGCTCTGCGCTTTCCTCAGCGCGTGGCCCTGTGCCACGCAGGGCACCGCGCCGCTCCAGTGCCGTCCCGGTGATTACAGGGATTAGAGATCGGATCAGAGATCTGCCAGCTCACGGCGCGGGGCAGCCCCGCTGGACGTGGGCAGCGTGACCTTGCAGGGGTGTTTATTGCTGCTTGCACCTGGATTTGGAGACAGCAGGATGAGGAATAACATGCTTAATTGTGGCAGCAGTGACAGTCTAAATTTTATCATGTCTTACTGGTTATGCCGGTGTTTCTAATCACCAGGGAGCACTGGCGAGGAGCTGGGACCGGCAGAAATCAGGGCTGGTGGCCGAAGCGCCCGTTGACCGGCTCACACGAGGGGCTGGCGGGGGCCCCGAGCTGCTCCGTCTGCTGCCCACGGAGCGCCACAGCCGGGCAGTGCTGATGGATTCCGTGTCCATCGTGGGAGGATGCAGCCGGGCAGTGCTGATGGATTCCGTGTCCATCGTGGGAGGATGCAGCCGGGCAGTGCTGATGGATTCCGTGTCCATCGTGGGAGGATGCAGCCGGGCAGTGCTGATGGATTCCGTGTCCATTGTGGGAGGATGCAGCTGGGCAGTGCTGATGGATTCCGTGTCCATCGTGGGAGGATGCAGGCGGGGCAGTGCTGATGGATTCCGTGTCCATCGTGGGAGGATGCAGGCCGGGCAGTGCTGATGGATTCCGTGTCCATCGTGGGAGGATGCAGCCGGGCAGTGCTGATGGATTCCGTGTCCATCGTGGGAGGATGCAGCCGGGCAGTGCTGATGGATTCCGTGTCCATCGTGGGAGGATGCAGCCGGGCAGTGCTGATGGATTCCGTGTCCATCGTGGGAGGATGCAGCTGGGCAGTGCTGATGGATTCCGTGTCCATCGTGGGAGGATGCAGGCCGGGCAGCTGCAGTGCCGGGTGGGCTGAGCGGGGCCAGCCTGGGCCCCCCCATCCCCGCACGGTCGGGGCTGTAAGAGGAGCTGCTGGATGTGCTGCGGGGCCTGTCCGGGGGTGACGGGGCCCTTACGATGCCGAGCTGCCTCCCAGCACGGAGGGGACGGGGACCCCGAGGTCTGAGGCTGCACGTGGCCGGGTCGGGGCAGCAGCACGGCGCTGGAGCAGGGCTGGACCCCAGCAAAACGCTCGGCAGCCCCGGCCAGCCTGGGATCACTGGGTGGAGAGCCGTGTAAGGCTGAGCCCAAGTTTTCCTAGAGTTCCTTGTGCTGTTGTTTAGCTAAGTTTAAATGAGCTGTGATTAAGCTAATTTCAAGCTAATTAACTCAGAAAGATATCCTCCACTTTTTAAAATTCTAAGTGGTTGTTCATTAGGAGCAAGTGAACGGGTAAAGGCTGCGTCACTGCAGCACGAGGAGCTAAATGCAGAATAAGCAGCAGAGTCATTACTGAAATATGAATATTTCTTATCTAATTAAATGGCATAATTAATGGACTGTTACTGTACTGCTGCTGTAGGATGCGTGCCCTTGTGCAAGCAGGCAGCGGGGAGCCGGGGATTCAGCTCCCAACTCCGGCCCAGGACACGGACCAGGAGCCTGCCTGGAAATAGCCCCCGCTTAGAGGCTGGCTCGTGCCCAGGGCAGGAGGCCATGCACATCCTTCCTGCGCCGGTCTGCTCAAAAACCAAGATGGAAAATCCCACCCCAGCCACGCTGCTGGGCCAGCTGTGATGTGGCTGCATCCCAGCACTGCCAGGGTGATGAAAAATGGAAGAAAACAAGATTGGGAGAGGAAACTGCAGGTCTGTCTGGGGAGACAGCGCTGTCTGTGGCTGAGAGCAATGAGTCTGGTAGTGTTGTTGCTGAGATCTAATGGCTTTTGCGGTTCAGTTTCTGGCTCACTGGAGCATCACTTGATTGAACGCACAGAGGAAGGGCTGGGCAATCCCCAAACTGTCTTGCCCTTCAGTTCAGGCTGAGCGAGCAGGAGGGAGCGGAGCAGGCAGAGCCGCGGCAGCATCCCCGCCCGCAGCGGCTGCCGGGGCTGCCTGCTCGGTGCACGGGGGCTGGAGGAGCCGGGATCCCTCACCCACCCTCCTGCACCCCGATGCTCCCCCCCTGCCATCGGCAAACCCCCAAGAAAATGTGGCGAAGGAGCTCTGGCTGTGCCTGGCAGAGGCCGAGGTGGCAGCGGGGGGGATTTCACAAGCAGCAGATGATGCTCAAGGAGGCGACCTCTGCACGGAAACCCCACGGAGCCGTGACACAGAGCCTCACTGGGTGCAGCAAAGATCTAAACTGCGTATCATCATAACTCATGAGTTTTCCTTTCCTGCCCGGGTCATTCTGCATTGAATGGAAACTAGAGAGCTCTTTCCTTTATTCTTACGTCCTTCTCTCCACACCTCTTGTTCCTTCAAGTGAAAAACCTGAAAATCCCTGAGAAGGTCATGAAATACAGTTACAATGGAGTGAGAGGCATTAGATTGAAGAATTGATCCCGGTAGCAAAGCCATTTCCCTCTGTTGTGCACATATAAATAAATCTGGATTGCGTGCTGAGTGATGAGCCGCCTCGGCGGACGGGCTCTCGGCACAGGGAGGGGGGCAGAGCGAGCTCAGCGGCGTGTCCCTGGCCGTGTTCTCAGTGTGCTCCTCTCCCAGCCCTCGGGAGGGGCTGGTGGGACCGTGGTGGTCCTGGTGGGATCGTGGTGGTCGTGGTAGGACCATGGTGGTCCTGGCGGGACCGTGACACTGGGTGTCCCACCGACAGGCACCAGCCCGGGTCTCTCTCCGGCTTGTTTTGCAACCTGCAGCATCGCACCGGGCACGAAGGATCGCCAGCCCCGGCTACTGGAGGCAGAGTGACCCCCCCTGCAAAGCCTCAGCCCCCGACAGACATGGGCTGGGAGGAGGCACCTTTGAGGCTGCCGAACTTTAAGAAAGGGCTTTGGAAAAGACCTGATAGTTCATGTCTGACTCATGCATATGTGAGTAAAGGTAAGGAGAGGGTCCGTCTCCCCGCTGCTCGAGCTCTCCAGCACGCTCCTTCCAGGTGACGGTGCCGCCCTGGGGACGCCCTTCTGCTGCGGGAGCATCACAGGCAGAATTTCTCCAGGATTCAATACTGTGAAGCCAAGTGAACAAGCAACGTGGAAGCAACCTGGCCTTGGGACCCTTATGTAAATTCTACCCTGAGTTTTCCCAAACCAGTCAGAGAGACCCTCTGGGTACCTGGGAGCCCCCGTTTCCCTGCCTTGTCTGGACCAGTTCAGGGCCACGAGCTTCTCCACTAATGCCAGGCCAGGCCAAAGCGCTCCCCCTTCCCCACAGCTCTCAGGAGCACACCCCCTCACAGCCCTTCTGCAGGGAACGTGGTGGCCCGCTTTGGGTTTCTCACTGCCCTGATTCCTTCCAGCACCCCACAGTGATACTATTGAAATTTCAGTCATCAGTTTCAGAAATTATTTCTGAAGTTTCCACTGCCCTTGGAGTTGCAATAATTTATTCATGCATTTTCCCCCAGGAACAGGAGCCACCACCCCTGTCAGCAGCTCCTTGCTCTGATGTCTTCGGGTTGAAACAGACTTTTTTTCTTGATAGTTGCAAACAATAATAACACTACCCAGAGCCTGCAGCCCCTCTTCTGCTCCTTGCAGGGAGACAAGGACATGCACCACTGACGCTTTAACAGCAGGTTTCCTTCCTCCCTCGCTGCCCGGCTCACGATGCACGGCTGTGCTGCAGTGACACAGCTCCCATGCTGTTAAGCTCCGTTTAAATGGAACGGCACAGCAAAATGTCTTTCCAAAGGGGATGATAGATCAGTGCTAAAATCTATTTTGCTTCACAACGCAACGATATCTTCTAGCGGGAGAAAAGACACTATTTTGAATGCAATCCGATATGAACCGTTCCTCTCTAGCTGCGCTCTCCCCAAGCCTGCTCCGACTAACCCGACCTGAGCGC